CCTGGAAAAAGAAGGAATCCCCCCTTTCACAGATGTTTATCATATGTTTACAAAGAGTTTTAATCATGTAGTTAGCATGATATCATTTTATAATATATTACTTATGGGAACATACTTTCCTTATCTAAATCATACTGGAAAACAATGAGTTCCTTTCCTAAGACTCAGCTTATTTTGTCAGATTTTTTTTTCCTGTTCAGCCCTCTATGATGGATTAGCCTTAATTATTTTATCTTTATTTGGAAAAGAAAACTACTGGAACTATATGTCTAGGAACTTAATCTCTCTTCTTTGGAATCAGTTGGCTTTAACTGGAGAAGTAATTTTAATGAGTTCCTCTGAGATTGAAAAATAGAGACAATTTTAATTAAAGCATCATGAACTACAAACTTTCCTGAGAAAACTTTTCCTTTGTATTTGGATCATATGAATAATGCCTTTAACTCAGTAGGAGACATAAATATACCTGCTTTATTTGTGTAGATTTTGACAACAAAACATTAACAGTAGGGCTGGGGTTGTAGCTCAGTGATAGAACACTCACCTAAGCATGTTCGAGGCTCTGAGTTTGATCCTCAGCACTACATAAAAATAAATAAATAAAATAAAGGTATTGTGTCCAACTACAACAAAAAAATATATATTAAAAAAAAATTAATAGTATAAACCTTGGGATGTCTAGTTGCTTTAAAGAAGGTAGTATAGTTCAGTTTATCTTTGTTTTCTTAGCTTTAGTTATAGTTCATATTTTAATAATTCAGAATGATACCCTCAGATCTGCCCTCATGGACCTTAGAGTCTAGTTCCACAAAAATATCTTTTTCATCTAATAAACTGGCTTGTATGACTAAACTCTATTGCATGCCTCAGATAATATTAATAACTACCTTGAAATAAGTACTTTTTGAAAATATAAGAGCTTAAGATAATATTAAATAAGTTCAAATTTTCAGTGTAAATTACTGGATAAAGTGTGATGATTTAGAATAAATAATTATACAATTAGGAGTTAATGCAGAATGCTAGTTTTTGTTGTTGTTTGTTCATTTGTTTGTTTTTGAGACAGAGTTTCTCTAAGTTGCTGAGACTGGACTTCAAAATGAAATCCTCCTGCCTTAGCCTCTGGAGTCCCTGGGATTATAGTCATTCACCACCATGCCCAGCTTTAGAATAGTAGTAATAATTCAACTGTCTAAGATCAACTTGTGTCTATGTAAATGATAAGCTGAAGGAAGAAATGTAAAAGAAGTCAACTGAGTTACAGTTTCTTGGTATGAAACTTTTATATAAAATGCTGGTCCTAGATATTTATTTGACTCCCAACTTCAAATTCCTAATGCACATCAATGCAGGGTCACCATGGTGTGGCAACAATCATCTAGAGCAATCTCACCAAAGGAAGAGGACTCATGGAATTCTTAACAAAAACTTTTGAAAATATGACATAAATGCTGGTCATAATAAATAACAAACAGGAATGAGGAAAAGGGGTGAAATTAGAAGGATCAGGAGGAGAGTTATACTGTTCACTGATACCTGGTAAAATTAAAACCACGCATTCCCCACATCCATTACACAATTTAAAAACTATGAGCTCAAACTATTTCAATTGATTTATTAAGCATTTTTAAAACAGCATATTTCACAATTATTGTCTGTACAAAGTAATTTACCCCAAATTCTTTTTATGCACAGTACAATAAATAATTTATATCCTCAAAACTATCCTTGAAGTTTGAACTGATATCTTACATTTTTTAGTGAGAATTTCCAGCCTATACCAAGCTTGTCAGTTTGCCAAATTTGAAATTCTTACAGGGCTTGCTATTCAAGTTATTTAATTCTACAAGTGGCTTATTTTCTTCTCACAATAGCCATTTTATAAATATGTCCTATATCTTCCTAAGCATAACATATTTTTAGCTTCTTCAGGCCTGACTTAATACTATATACATTTTCAATTTCCCTACCCAGTGGTGCATGGTGTAGACAATCAATAAACACAAGATTGTCATAGTAAGTAGAATGTCATTTTAACTGAGGGATAAATACAGGTGCATTATAAAAAAATTAACATGAATTCTATGTCAAGTATCAATTGTCTATCTTGTATGTATTGTAAATACATACTTGTGAGACAGCAATTTTTCTGCTTAGTACTCACATTTCTGCTTAGTACTCACATATTTATGTTTCGATGTACTAAAATATAACATCACGCTTCTCATATGATTTTAAACAAAGCAGATGGTACAATACTTCTCATATTTAAAGAAAGGATTATGGTTTAAATTTATAATTGATAATATTAAATTATATATTTTGAGTGTTAAAATGGGCATATTGATAGATTAGTAATCATTGCCAATTATTTAGTATTATCATACATTCAACATTTATTTTTGTTGTCATGTGAAGTATTCTTGCTTCATATTTTTAGACTTTTACAAAAGAAAAGTCAAACTACATGAGACGTTATACACCCCAAGATTTGCATATTAAAACTTAAGATGAGTTGGTAGCATTTGAAATAAAAAATGCTGGCTTCATACATAAAAAGATAAAATTTTAAAACCTATTCTCACAACTACAATGCAGAAATATCTAGTTTGCCATCATTGGTGATGAGCCAATTTTGTTTGATAATTTGAGAGAATCCCTCATACATTTGAAAAGCCTTGTTTTAGGAGATTTATTGTCTTAGGAGATTTAGCAAATCTGAACAAACAATTTCTCTTTGATTAACAGGTGTTTCAATGAATGTGTAGTTTAAAAATTTATATTTGTAGGCTTAAAAGTGCCTGAATCTGAAAGTTCAGCATTAAAAATATTTCTACAAAAATTAAGCCTCAGGTGTACATACACATTTCATCTAGGACATAAAACTTAAAAATAAAATTTTATCGCTGAAAGCAAAGGGTACTTTGCACTAAAATTGCTTCACTAAATTGGATTTATGGAATGACTTATAAATCTAATTAATACTAGGGGCCATGCAAGGTCAAGACACCTTCTTCATCTAATTTGGTCATTTATGGTAAAGAGATTTAGGTCTTTTAAGTATTTCCCCAGGTTCAGTGTCTAATTACTAATAAAGTGTTTAGGGAAACTATTAATCTCTGTTTTGTTTACTTACTTGTAACTTGGGTAAAACAATATTCATTTCATATTGTTGCTGTGTTGAGTCCAAAATGTATGGAAAAAAGCACAGTAATTTGTACATAGTGAACTCCATTCTCTGAATGAAATTTCTCACTGACTTATTGATTTTTCATCTAGATTGAAAAATAGCAAGTGGCGTTTCCAGTAAGAAATCAAACAATGATACAGACAGAATAGTGGGTTGGATTGGTTGTTGTTGTTTGTTGCTTTGATTTTTCAGACCAAAAATGAAACTCTTTTTTTCTAAATTTATTTATTTATTCTAATTTGTTATAAGTGACAGCAGAATGCATTTCCATTCATAGTACACACATAGAGCATAGTTTTTCATGTCTCTGGCTGTGCACAAAGTAGAGTTACAACTTTTGTGTCTTCATATATGTACTTGGGGTAATGCTGACCATCTCATCCCACCCCCCTTTCCCTCCATCCCCTTTGCCTTATTTAAAATTCCTCAATTCTTTCCATGCCCTCCACATCCCTGTTATGGATCAGCATCTTCATATCAGAGAAAACATACGTCTTTTTTTTTTTTTTGAGATTGGCTTACTGCACTTAGCATTTTATTCTGCAACTCCATCCATTTACCTACAAATACCATAATGTTATTCTCTTAATGCTGAGTAATATTCCACTGTGTGTGTGTATATATATATATATATATATATATATATATATATCTTCATATCAGAGAAAACATACGTCTTTTTTTTTTTTTGAGATTGGCTTACTGCACTTAGCATTTTATTCTGCAACTCCATCCATTTACCTACAAATACCATAATGTTATTCTCTTAATGCTGAGTAATATTCCACTGTGTGTGTTTATATATATATATATATCACAGTTTCTTTATCGATTCATCTACCAAAGGGCATCGAGTTTGGTTCCACAATTTAGCAGTTGTGAATTGTGCTGCTGTAAACATTAATGTGGCTGTGTCCCTGTGGTATGCTGTTTTTAAGTCCTTTGGGTATAAACCAAAGATTGATACAGCTAGGTCGAATAGTGGTTCTATTCCAAATATTCTAAGGAATTTCCACACYGCTTTTCATATTGACTGCACCATTTTCGGTCCCAACAGCAATATATGAGTGTGCCTTTTCCCCCATATCCTCACCAACACTTATTGTTGTTTGTACTCTTCGTACCTGCCATTCTGATTAAAGTGAGATGAAATCTTAGAATAGTTTTGACTTTCATTTCTCTAATTGCTAGCAATGATGAACATTTTTTCATATATTTGTTGATTGATTGTATATCCTCTTTTGAGAAGTGTCTGTTCAGTTCCTTAGCCCATTTATTGATTGGGTTATTTGGGTTTTTGATGTCAAAATTTTTGAGTTCTTTATATATCCTACAGATGAGTGCTTTATCTGATGTGCATGTGGTGAAAATTTGCTCCTATTCTGTAGGCTCTCTATTCATCTCACTGATTGCCAAAATGAAACTCTTAAAAAATGTTTGTCTTCCCCTTCAATTAGAAAGATTTTCAGTCTGTTTTTTGTTTATTTGTTTGGTTTAGTTTTTTTTTATTTTTGAGATATAATTCCTTATCATTCCCTAGCTATTTGACATTGGTGGTCAATATTAATGAATTTCATTAAGACAGAATCAAAATGTTAAAAAGGATGTTTCTCATTTTGCTTTATAGGGTTCCCTGACATACAAACTACATTTCCCAACAASAAAATAATGAATTCTAGTTACTAGAAACAAATATTATGTTTGCAAATCAAAAGTTAATWAAAAAAAGGTTTTAAGATTTGTAATATTTGGGAGCAATCACAAGAAGGTTAATACTGGTTGAAAAATCCCATCTGGTTTTTCCTTTTAGGGAAAGGTGAACATGGGAAGCCTTACCCCCTTACTGAAGAAGACCATGATGACTCAGCATACAGGGAAAATGGTTTCAATATTTTYGTCAGCAACAACATTGCTCTAGAGAGGTCCCTGCCTGATATTCGCCATGCTAAGTGAGTATGGGCACATCCAGCGTGTGGTGTCTTTGGTTTGTTTGTTTGTATTGTTTTCTATTGTTTGTAACCGTGTATAACTGTGATATGTGTCATCAAAAATTTTGCCCTGATAATTTTTATAAATAATTTTGATATAGCTCAGTTGGTAGAGTGCTTGCCTAGCACGTACAAGGCCCTGGGTTCACTCCACAGCACCACCAAAAAAACAAAAAAAAAAAACAAAAAAAAAAAGGAAAGAAAACAAAGAAAGAAAGAATTGTATTTCATAATCAAATATGTTTCATTTAAATTAGAATAACCTTCAAATTTTCAAGAGAATTACTACCAACCAATATACATTTTCATTGACTAAATAATCTCCATTTAAAATGAAGTGTTTTAAGATATTACCTGTACTCTTTACCCATGATCATGTAGATTATGAGGTAAACATCCTTCTCTGGTGGTTAGTACTATCAATGCTACCTATAGACACAAACCTCCTGTGACTCTATGTACATCCAGCTATATTTAATGCCATTGTTGTGATTATTACATAAAAAAGCTTAAAATGAATGCATCCATAATTCAGAAGTAACAATCACATATTTAATTTGCTGTCACTGTGAACTCCTTGTGGCTTGCTAATTAACAATGAGTTCAGCTTTTATTGGATCATAGGTAAATTTCCTAGTGTAAATGAAAATAATAATAGTACATAGTTACCGAAATTTATTTTCTCTCCAATCACCCCTATGTTCCCCTAAATGGCTTGGTCTACTTTCTGTTCTAATCCACTGTGGTTTTCCCTGATAGCTTAAACAAGGCCAAAAGGGTACAAAGAACATGGAATATGAGTGGAATTTGGGATGTTTTTTGCCAGGCTTATTTAATAAATCCATCCAACAACACTAATATTTTAACTTAACCCCTACCTCAATCTCCTTATGGAAATACTAGTGTGGGGGGAAAAAATCAGAGAAAATGAAATCATAGAAACTAATGAAAATAAAGGTTAGGAATCTAAATTAAAATAGTAATGTAAAATAAATAAAAGTCTTATTTGGGGGCAATGATAATTAGTCCATTAGATAAAATTCAGTAAATTGTGGTTTGGGGGACCTTTTTCTTATTGTTATAGTGTGTCTTCATAAATTAATTTGAAAGTATATAAGAATTATTGGTTTTCTCCTCAGGTTTTACGTGAATTTGCATTCCTCAATATAGTTAAGCAGAGGATTAATGTGAAGAACAAATCAATTTTTCCCTAAACTGGAGGCTTTATATATTGGTCTAAGCCTTTTAGCCAGCCAAATTATTCCCAAGTTACCTGAAATTATCTACAGTAATTCCCACTGACCGAGAACATTTCTAGTTATGAGAAATTTTAATACCTAATTGCACACCATCAAAAATGCATTAAATGGCATTGTTGGCATAATAAATATGCTCAGAGAATAACTCTATCCACCCCTTTCCACCCCCACATTTCCAATCTTTTAATGTGTATTCAACTGGAAAGTATTGCAGGTGAAAACAGGGCAGAAAAATCACTGAAGTCAAAATAAGGCTGATATTCCCACTCTTCACACAGAGTATATTTTAGTGTAGCTATCACCTTTTAAGAAAAAAATATATTTTAAGACTATGTGCAAAAAATGGCCAAATGAAAAGAAAAATATTTTGAAATTTTTACTATAGTCATGAAGTTTAGAATAGGAAGGAAACATTATTGTAAATACTAAGGAAGAAAAACATGGTTAAAAATTCTGTGTTAGGCCATGTTATTACTTAGTTACTGAAGCTGGATATCTAATAGAACAAATAATCATGTAGTAAAATGATACCAAAAAAGAAAATAAAGTGTATACGCATGTACACACAGACACACATACACACACACACACACACACACACACACACACACACCCCTTAATAGAGGTTTAGAGTTCAATGTCAGGAAAGTGTTAAGGAATAAGCAGGAATGATGGATTACCTTGGTTTGTACAGGATCTAACTCTAAGCAATGCAGGAAGAAGATTCTGATGTTACTTCAAATGTTGTCAATGTCCCACCTGCAGGAGACCAACAGCTAAAAAGTCTTACATGGATCGTACTGTTTAAAAGTCCTATGCTTTTGCCTTTATCTGTGCTTCTCAAAATGCAGTTACATTTCACTCTAATAAACATGGAGCTCTGTGTAAGTTGTTATGGAAATACAAAATGAACTGAACACATATTTCAGGATTATCAACTTAGCTTACATTGCAGATCATTGAATACAGCTTGTTTATATTGATGCAATCTATAAAAGAGAATGCAAACTTTGGGTGATTTGAGAACATAGCAGTTCTAAGAGACGGCATTTGCATTCATCCAATTCAAACTGTAGGTTCAGAGTGACAGGAGGGAAGAGCTCCTTTTTCTTGGCTCTAGTATTTTACAATGGAAGATATCAGATAAATACTATCCTGCAATTTTGTTTAATATGATCTTTGCTCAAATACCTATGATCATGGTATTTATGCCACTGACCTATACTATTGATAATTCTCTGTATATTCAAGTATTCTGCACCTGTTCAGATTCTCACATTTAGTTAAAAAAAAAAAATCCATGATTTCAGATGTTGCAGTCAACTATTACGCTACTGTGACCAAAAGACTAAACAAGAACAATTTTAAAGGAGGAAAAGTTTATTGGGGGGCTCACAGTTTCAGAGGTCTCAGTTTGTAGATCACCGACTCCATTTCTTGGGGTCTGAGGTAAGGCAGAATGTCATGGTAGACATGTGCAGCAGAGGAAAGCAGCTCAGAAATTTGCACAGGAAGCAGAAAAAAGAGCTCTGCTCAACAAGGACAAAATATATACTCCAAAGGCACACTCCCAGGGACCCACTTCCCCTGGCCACTCCTACCTGCCTTAAGTTACCATTGAAGATTAATGCACTGATTAGGTTAAAACTCTCACAGCCCAACTCTTACCTCTAAACTTTCTTGCATTGTCTTGCACATGAGCTTTTGGGGAACACCTACAACCAAACCATAACACTAGGTATTTGGCTATGCTTAGTGTTCGTTCTAGTTCATTGTGAAGAATATTCAGAACAAGTTATTTTACAAATCACGGTCCACAAGGCATTGTTCTTTTATTTTTCCTACTCCTTTCTTATTCACTAGTATACAAATGAACTACCCTACTTTTGTTGCTGTAATTTCATAAGTAATGAAATAAGTAATGTAAGTAATACATTTCCAAAAGGAGGAGCAATATATGAAGGAAAGTACGATRAACTCAGGCCAGCAATAATCTGATACATCTTACTTAAATCCTATAATAAATTTCAARCTTTTCTCTTATATTTTCATTTTTTACAACTTTTTTAGCATCTCCCTATATTGCATATAATTTAAATTTTCACATCATCYATGCTTTAGTATTGTCAAAAATTTCATCCCTTTTTCCATACTCTATATTTTTGGTTGACTTTTGCATGTTTTTGAAGATATTCTCTACATATTTTAAAYATGTACTCTTTTATGTTTTTGCCAATTCGTGTTTATATCCCCAGTGCCTGGAATTTGTCCTAGAACATTTTATGTACATATTTTATTTCATGCAATGCTGATACAAATTTTTGTTTGAGTAAATTTGGGTGGAAAATATCCAGTCTGTGGATATCCTGCTGGCCTGGCTTCATTTTACCATATTTTGTTTTTTATTCCCACCTGAATACTGATTGTACTTGTTCACCTATCTCAGATGTCAAATATATGCTGTGTAAACTGTAGGACATCTCATTTATCTTCCAACTTAAGATGGGAGGTGTAAAAAATCAATAAAAGTACACAGAAAATAGGAAAATTAAAATACTATGTAGAAATGGCCTAYAAAGAAAAGAAACACCAATAAACTAAAACATAAATGTATTGTTAATAAGACAAGAATAAAACAAAATTATAATTATTTGAGCAAATGTTATTTCCTAGTTATGAACAAACTCATCAGTAGTTATAATAAGTACCTTTCAAAACATGATATAACTAATAAGTATAAGACGAATTTACATCTAAGAAAAGACAAAATATATAAGATTAAGAGACAGAAGATGGGGCTGGGGATGTGGCTTCAGCGGTAACGCACTCACCTGGCATGCACGGGGCCCTGGGTTCAATCCTCAGCACCACATAAAAATAAAATAAAGATGTTGTGTACACCAAAAACTGAAAAATAAATATTAAAAAATTCTCTCTCTCTCTCTCTCTCTCTCTCTCTCTCTCTCTCTCTCTCAAAAAATAAAAAGAGACAGAAAAGCCACTTATATTAGAGTTAAGGGAGGTTTTGCATAGGACCCAGGTAAACACATCCTCAATATAGACTTCATTGATCTTTTGTGTTTGTTTTTTGCTATTATTAAAGTATATATGTTTATCTAAACACAAACACATATAAATAAATACATATATACATATCTTAGTATTCATTTGTAAGGAGGCTAARAAGCTACAATATTTTCAAATTTTAAGTCTTACTCTATGTTCTAGCTTTTCCTTTTTATCTATCATTTCTTTTCCACATCACTGATATTCCCTAGATAGGAAAAATTTTAGCTTCATGACTTTGACAATAAATGGAGTCTGAATGTTAAGAGAAAACTATGATATCTTATGTCTTGTAAAAACACAGGACGATTTTTTTACAAYGTCTTATATTCTATGATCACTTTCAGTAGTGTTCCAGTTATATCAAACTAATTTATCACAAGTCTAATCCATGCACAATTTGAGAACCAAGTGAGAAACTGTCCCAGAAATAACTTGGTATTAAAATATTACTTTCATTATTGAGGTCTTGTTGGTGAGCATGGATTAGATGTGGTCCGAGTATCATATCTAATATCAAACTTCAGAAGGAGACACAGTCAGTCTTGAAGTCACAGTCCTGTTGGACAACATATAGGCAACTCTCAATCTAATCTCTGTAGGCAAACATGTCCSAAAGAAGAAGAATGAAGGACT